CTGCGACAGACGAACAGCGGCGGCGGCGCGCGACGGGACGGGTTCCCCCCGCCCCCGTCGACCACCGGCAGGAAGGGCTGCCGCAGGGTGGTGTTGGGCGAGGTCGTCTGGGAGGAAGGGGCGGTGGCGTCGAGGACGGGCCGAGGCGCGGAAAACCCCTTTGACAGGAAGAGCGGCATGCGGCCAGAGGGGGTCAAGCGGGGGGCGAGCAGCCCGCCGGCGGCACTGGACAACGCGTCCCCCCCCTCCACCGCTAGGAGGTTCCCCCGGTGGGGAACCGGGTCGCCGTGGAGGAAGCTCGGGTCGGACGCCGGTGTGGCATCGCTCGCGGGCTCGTCGACGCCTTTTTCGGCGCACGCCAGCAGCCCCATCGCCGCCTCGCGCTGCCTCGAAAGCGGCAACTGAGCGCTCAACGCGGGGACGCCGACCAGATCCGGCGGCGGTGCCGGAGTGAAGAGGGAGGGAGGCCGCCGTTTTATCCGGCGTGGGGCCTCCCCTGCAGCGGACGCCGCCGGGATGGGCATGCCCACGTCATCGGCAGGCGCCTTTGAGGCCAATTCGTGGTGGCCGGGAAGCCACGACGCCGGTGCGGTCTCCTTTGGTATGGACAAGTTCCTTGGCATCGTCGAATCCAAGCCGGGAAGGTCGGGTGAGGGATACATCCCCATCGCATTGCTGTCATCCGTGGATGCAGGCCACAGGTAGGACGCCAGATCCTTACCACCTCCTTCCGCATGAAACCCATTGATAGGTGGGCATGCATCATGGTCATGGTAAGGGTCTCCCCTCAGCTTCGTTGGGTCGCCGCCGTGCTCACGCAATCCATGCAAGTCAGGTTGACGTGAATAATTCACGGTTTCGGAACGCCATTCATTGTGCTCTGAGTCGTAGCTATCCTCGAGGGCATGGGCATGATCACTACAAAACTCCTTATGGAGAGGCATTTGAACTTGAACCGGTTCGGAGGATATGGTTGGGACCATCATCCCGATTCCGCTTCGATGACTTTCCATTAGTATTGGAAAGGTTTCTTCTTCTGGGGGTACTACAAGAACTGAAAGAGCATTCTCCGCATCCTTACTAATAGTAGTTAAAGTAGCATTTGGGTCACGATGTTCCCGTCGCTCCACAGAAGAGGAAGATAGTTTATCCCCCACTGTTGTGCTGTTATCTGCATCAATAGAGGGGTGTGGCAACGTAAAGGATAGAAAGAATGGACTCACTTTAGACATTGTATGCTCTCCTTCCGCTATCCTTTGAATTCGAGCAGTCCTAGTACCCTTACTAAATTGATCCGGTTTGAACTCCCCCTACCCAGATTAATCACGACAGATGATAACAATCCCCTTCTTGTAACCCCGATATAGCTCTATGAAGAAAAAGAACCAATTTCTCAAATAAAAAAAAGGCTACGCACTAGATCCCCGTCTGTACGTTGTATCTTAATTCCTTCAACGCGTATTTTTCTCTCTTTTGATTGAGAACCTTGTAAAAACTCCGAGCAACCTTTGGACACTATTAAACGTATCAACTGCTCATTCACTCAAACCACGCGTCAATAGATGCGACCTGCGAAGTGCGGTTAATCAAATAATTTCGACACGTAGCAAAAATGATTAATATGTATGTCAACACCTATATAATGATGGCACGCAAATATCCGAAGATGTCCTCACAATCCTTTGGCTCTTAAGCAAAGGAACAGCACTCCTTTGTATACAAAAACAAAAAGTACTTAGCTGGAGAGCAGAAAGTAAAAACAATGAACAAAGCACAAAAAAGAAAGCAAATTCGGAGAGCTGGAAAAAACGTGACCCTTACCTTGTTTAAATGTAAAGAATAGCTGCAGTCCTTTCCCTAGTGGTAACGGATAAAAATACTGCTATGGTTTGTCACCTTGCCTGTGATGGAGATGGAAAGTGAGGTGTGAATATTGCTATATTCACTTGTTGCTAATTATTTTTATAATAAATTATCCCTTAGCTCAAATTTCACGCTTATCTCTTTATTATTAACTATATATGCTTATTTATGGATATTGGCAAACCCTTAACCTCGCCTTTTGTATGATATACGGCACCGTATTGCTCGTTCACCTCGTGTCACTCCAAGATACACGCCCCTTACCTTTTTGCTCAATATGTAGCAAAAGGAAAGAATGTGGTATTCTAAAGTAGTGGTATTAATAGGCGATACACACACACCCTTGGCTAATGTTCTTGCTTGAGGAAAGGGAAATAATAAGATCGAGCTTACTATGGTAGCCAAGTACACTCACACACTTTTGCACACTACGAATATATATATAAATATGTATATTAATGATATACGGTGTCGAAAGAAATATTTTTCTGAAGAAAAAAAGATGATTTGATTTTAAAATGAGAATAGATTAGAACTAACTCTACTCTACGATACAGAGAAGACGCAATAGCAGGGGAAAGGAAAACTGATGGAGTAACAATACCAAAATAGACAAAACCGCGCTGCTGTTTACAGTAGCCTAGTATCGTCGCCGCAATTGCTTTTTTTTTTTTGAGGGGGGGGGGGAGGGGGGGGAAGTAATGCACTGCCACGTAAAGGATGCCTGGAAGGCATAAACTTCCTTTGTTGAATTGCTTTCTTTTGAAAAGAGGAAGGAGAGGGCATTGCTGAATTTGAGGATAGACTTTGGCGCTTAGCAAAGAAAAAATATATATGCGCATGCCGATAATCATCAATAGGTATGAGAACCTACCCCCGCATCGTTGATTTGTGCCATCCAAAGGTAAGCGTGTCGTGGTGTGAAGTATTCCTTCAATTACCATCTCTAAATGTGCACACCGTTTTCCTTATGGGCACCTTCACAACTCAATCTCACAGAGCCTGAACCAACAGGCGGTAGCGTCGTCCCCACGAGAGGGCGAAGCTCGAGGTGTAAACCACACCCCAAGACGTTGAGTTGTCGAAGCATCCTGTTCATCGACGCGAAGAACATTTATAGTTATGTACTCAAAGCATAATAGACTAACGTTGGACTTGAATAAAAATAAAATGGTGTATAGAAGCAGCATAAAATTTTCAAGGATGCAAATAAGGATTCAAAATTGTATACTTTAGCGTTTTGGAAAGCTCCCCTAAAGAGGGAGGGAGCATACCTTACTCCCCGCTCCCCAACAATCACCTGTCACCTCGCTCGTATGCGGGGCAGTATGTGATCGAATTGAGTTACACTCCTTACCTCGATGAAGATGAAGTAAATATCGAAACTAAGGAGAAAACATAAATGGATAAATCACGATTCATGTAAGCATAAACGAAAATAGCAGTGATGGTCATAATAAACATATTGTTCTTTTTTTTACAATATAAACAAAAAATTAGAACAAAACATTTTTTTTCTAAAGCAAACGAGATGAAGAAACGACCCCTCTGCTAATAGTCTTTGACAATGTATGCTACCTTTCTTCATATTCCTTTAAATACCTCTTACAGCAGTTCCAAATGCGCTAGAATCAAATTAAAAGAAAACCAGCTATCAATGATTTAATAAACCCTCTCAACTCGCAGGACTATCCCATTTAAGCAGAACAAATTGGCTATATATTAAAAAGTAATGCGATACCCCGCTCTTCTGATCTGCTGTAATGTAGGTTAAACAAGGCTATATTACTCTGCTATTTGGATCTACATCATGAATAAAAAGAAAAACACGACATGCACTAAAGCGCTCCCTTATCGTTCTATGTGTAGTCAACAAAAAAGAAGAACATAAAAGCAGTTTAAAAAACGTCTGTGTTGTTTTCGCCTCGTAATCTGCCCCACTCCCCGCCCTCAAGGGGGAAGAAAATGAGATTCAAAAAGCGAAAGCAAGAGAAAACAAAGCCAAACCCAAATATCTGAACTAACCTATTCCCCTCAAATAAATGTGTAAAAGATGAAGTATGAGGCGCCGTTTTCTCATACATCATAACCATGTGCGTATTTTCGAAATTCTGCAATACGGGGCGCACACACCTCGTCGACCCCTTCTACCTCGCGGCATTGTTTTAAGAGTAACCAAATAAAATGGCATTCATATTTTCCAAAAAGCAACTATATATACATATATAGATGCACATATGTATTTGATTCAACGTCCTCTCACGCCTTTCAAAAGCATAAACTAGCAAAAACAACAAGGTGAGTGGGGGAGGGGGGAGAGGGGGAAACAGTCCACGCACTCACAAATGAATAACTAGACTTGCATCTAATAATAATCATCTAACAAAGAGAAAACCGCACACACAACTTTTATTTCACTCCCAGACGTGATCGAGGCCGCGAGACTCGTCGGCCGTAGGAGTGATAAAAAAAAGGGGGTAAAAAAACAAGTATTCATGACAATGCGAACTACACCCTCTCAACAACACCAAAGATGTTTTGACTTCTTCATCTAAATGATCCCATGGGGTAAAACAAATCTTTACGATATAAACACACTCACGCGTGAAGGTTCAAGGGCGATCCCCCCCCTCCTCTTCTCTTCCCTACCAAAAAAAAGAAAAAAACGCTTCTGTTTATCAGAAGAAGGTGTAAAACCGGTTGATAAATCTGCATTCGCGGCGGAAGGATCGTGTTAGCTTTGCGATGCTTTGGAAGGGGGAAGGAGGGGAGGAAAAGCATCCCCTCCCCTCCTTTCTTCCCTTTCCTTCTCGCTCGCGCCTCTCTCTCTCTC